TTTCACCCATGTAGGTGTTTTTTACTGCCCTGCTAATTATTTTATAAGAGTTCGTTGTTAAACTGAAATATTTTTATTTTTCTTATTTTCACGATAGCACTAAGTTTGTAAATAAAGGGCCCCTTGGCCCTAAATATACAATTTATTATTTAGTTATTTATTTATAAATACTCCTTCTCTGATAAGACATTCTCCCGAGCCTTTTCAATCTGCAAACGCACAATCAACTGCTTTAGCAGCATCGTCTGTTAGAATCTGGTTGCCGCGATATCTGTATAACGGCAAGCTTAAATGGTGAGAGTAAGATTTGTAAAAAAATCACCAATATATTGGCTGGATCCCTGAGGCATCTGGCAAAGGCGATAGTGTCTCAGAAAGATGTTTTCTTTTCCGTCCCACATTGTCTCGAGCTCTGTAAATGCCGTTTGAAGATCAATAGCCTCTTGCAACTTAAAAGCGTCGAAGAAACGTTGCTCCAGCTCTCCGACATGGGTCTAGAGGAGTTTCAAATTAGATGTACGTCTACCGTTATAGAGGGCGACAAAATCTGAAGTAGTTCAATGTAATCCTCAAATGTCTTCCTCCATTGAAACCAGAAATCCCTTGAAGGTTTCGGAGCGCCTTCCGGCCAGAAAGGTAATAGTGTAGGTAGCAATGAAGCCATATTCGTTAAGCTGCGGCGCCAATATTATGTATTGCAAACGTAAGGCAGTTTTTAAGCAGGACGAATGTAATGTAGGTAAAACAGAAGACTGCCTGTAGGCAGAATATCATTTTAGCGAAACAGAGGGCTGCCTGTAGGCAGGACTTGTACTGAAAACATAGGCACAGTTTAAGTGTCATCTTAACGAAGGGGGCTTTATGACGTGGCTTAAATGTAAGAGGCTGAAAGGTAGCCAGTCGTAACAAAGAGAGGGGTGAATCCGCCGGCCCGTCAGAACAACGAAAGGCGTGAACATGCAACGGTTCTACAGCCCACTTCCTCTTTGCGCGAGACGCCGCAGGCGAGGTCTCTAAGTAACAGTCTTGGTCGCCCAGTCGTAATCGGCCCA